ATAGTTACATGTCAGTGCGTGGACACGTTTCTTCGCCATGGCACCATCACTATACTTAGTGTAAGATCGGGTGTCCCGTCATCTCATCGTAAATAATTTACCACATGACATTTTAAGGCAAATATGATTGATCGCAAGATTGTTCATGGCAATTAAAATTAAACTGGGCACATAGAAACAATATTTATCGCAACCTATACAATTATAATAGTGGTTATTTTCTTATTAATAGGTAGCTACAAAATGTATAATTAATTAAAAATAAAATAATAATAATAATAGGTATAATAATTATAATAAAAATAACTGTACCTACTTACGAAATTTACAATAGTATATATTACATATAATTATCTGTATAATAATTATACGTTTAAAATTATTTTAAGCGTAAGAAATTGCATGGTTATATCTGCCCATAAAGTCCATAGGAATTTTTGAAGTTTAGGTGCGTTCCATTTACCCACATTCCCTAAGAACTCAGGCTAACAATGTTGAAAATGCATTGCCGATATTGTCAGCGAATTAAAAAAATAGATTAATAAACTATTACCATCATAGCTTATAATAATATTATACACTATATTATGGTACCTAAGTTATTAACCCTAACGAAAGATAGAGACTAACTCAGCTGATCAATTGATTGGCGATTTACGATCAATAATAGTCTTACTATAAAATTGTCTTTGCGATCAATATCGTCGTTTGGTATTACATCGCATGATGCGAGATTGATTGTCGTGCGGTGAATTATTTACGATCGTCTGTCGGCGTCCGTACTGGTCGTTGAACAAAATATAAAGTGACCATCGGCACGCGTAGTCGGGCGGGTTAGGTTAATTTCTACTGTTTATCAGAAACAAAAGTTTGAATGTTAAGGGGGGTTCACAACTGTCCGTGTCGTGTCGTGTGAATTGTGAATTAAATTCGTTCTTCAGAGACGTTCCGAATCAGGACGTTACTTACTGGGCAATCATAAATTCTACCATGGTTATCTAACTTTTACATAGTTCATGTTGTAGGCACGTTTGTTCCGTTTGTTTTGTCAGGACTCAGGGCAAAATAAGTTCAACAATTATTAAATACGATCAACAGAAGACACGAATATAAATTAAATAAAATACTTAAATTTTTTTCTTTTCAAAATATAATAAATGACACTAAACCACACTACCACAGCGTGAACATTGTGGCCAAAAGTTAAATATATTCAACTTCACGGTATCGTGTTGGTTGACACGATCATATTTTTACAATCACATTTTGGTAAACCAATCAGAAAAAAGTATTTTACACTACACGACATGGGCAGTTGTGAACCCCCCTTAAGTTTTATGTTATTGAAATCGAATGAAAATGTTCCAAACACGCATTTGGCCGAATCGCGCGTCAACCATGACGTCATATAATTATGATAATGATTTGATGGAAACATTTTTCCAGGCTATGAACGCTGTTCGTTTGCCTAAAAAATATGCCTTACGGCGTGTCTGCTCGGTGGCTTATCGTAATGTGTATGCCTATTGCCTATGGCCCGATATGACCGTATACCGCTACCTACGCGGTAAATAGATTTCATCGCACAGTCAGCTTACCGTGCACGCGCAACGACCACGTTCGCGTTTCCGGTTTCTAGAACTTTTTTAGTTCCTCGCTGGCCTATCGGTTCTCGCCGCAGTCGGCCCTCGTTCAGTTCGGTCTGCACAAATGCGGTTTTTCCGTTGCCGATAAACGATATTTTAATATAATAATAATAAATTCACTACTGTTCCGCTCGATATGATTACTTTTCGATAATAAACTTAACATTGTTTTAAATCGTTTGCTTATACATATAATAATTAGTATGAGGTGAAAGACGTGTGCCGATGTGCAGTCTGTACGCTCAGCGGTGTTTTTCACCTTCGGTGGTTATGTGCTTACCATGTTTGGGTTTCAGCGATTTTTCGGTGCTAATTTCGGTACCCTGCCATGTCAGGAAATCCAAGTCTCGTTCGATCGTTCCCAATAAATAATGTGTACTGCGTCAGGGTACACATAATAATATTAAACAGTATTTTTTATTAAACAGATCTTTTGCATAAAATATTATGTATTCAATAATCGATTTCGTTTAGTTTATTATTACACTATGTCATTTTCAGGACTGTATTTGAATTATTTTAATGCCGCGATTATAATAATATTACGGTCACGAGTATTTTCCGCAAGCGTTTCAGCTGCACATTTTCGATTTGACTGCTTCAGACGAATTGGATTAGACTACATTTTACTGTGCACACAATAATATGTTTTTTAATACTTATAAAGTCTGGTAAAAAAATAATAATCTTTAAATAGTTGTAATCGAATGATTATTATATTAATTAATATTTGAATACTAATATTTAAATGTTCATTCGTGTGAAAACACGACATTTTCTAACAAACTTTATTTTTTGGTACTCGAGTACACGACATTTAATTATTTCAATCTTGAAAACGAAGTAGGGTAAGTTTACACGTTTTAAGTTTATATGCTGCAATTATTCCGTGAAATGGAATAATTATAGTCTATAGACAGTTATTATTATAATAACATTATATGAAACACCTTCCTGTATTATTTAATATTAGTTAATTAAATTGAGCAAAATTATGTTAAATTAAAGAAATAATTATTTAAATATCTTAAGTTTGTATTCCTGAACATATTAATGAGTACCATGTGTATGTTACGTTATTTTTAAAACATTTCTTTATTATTAATTACATTATACAAAATTACAGGATGGTCCGTTTTACTAATTCTCCGAGTTAATTTTTTTGTGTACGTAAATGAATACTCAGTGAGTCACTGATTTTTCCAAAAATTTAGCGTTATAAAAAAAGCTTTAATAACTAAGTGAGTAAATTGGAAAAAAACAACATAAAAACAAAATTTTTACTTGTTAGTTGACAATGCACTAAACTACCAACTGGATCAAATGCAAGGAATTATATTGATTAAAATATTATACTATTCCATATTTGTATGATCAAATAAATAATATAAAAAAGTGCTCCAAATAATTGAACTTTGAAGAAACTCAGATAGTATGTTACATTACCTTACATTTTGTTAAACCATATATATAAATTAAATATATATTTCTCATTAATTGTTTCGTAAGGATTATGGTTTACTTAAAAATAAATAATTAGGTACTTAATTTCTTAAAAACTCGTGCCAATAAAATAATTACAAACATGTTTATTCTGTAACGTTCTTCTAAAAACATAATATCATACATAGCATATACTATAAAAGGGGAAGTCAATGTATATGTATATGTTGATACGGATGAGTAGAAAACCAGTAAACCACAGTTTTTGCCAAAAATGTAATGTTGAAATAAAATCACTTCAATAATAATTAACTAAGGACATTTTATTTTATCAAAAAACATATTATATCAATATGTTTAGTTATAATATTATTATAGTTTGCTTCAAGGACCTAGGTACACCGATTTATAATGATAATCTTTATTGGCGGAAATTAATTCCAATGTTTAATACATTCAATCACACTGTAGTCTACATACATTTATAATCGTTAATGATAGGTACCAATAATAGAGTCATAATACATCAATATTATTGATAATACATAGGTAATTAATATTATGTGGCATATTTAATAGTAATTAGTAATATAATAATTACAGAGTCAATCGATTTTTTTTTTATTAAGTATTCCTGACAGTTAGGTAACTTTTTTATTGGTTTTTTTTGCGGCTTTACAATAGATAATACATACATTTATTTACATTGATATATAAAATGGTAGGTACTTATAATAGAATAATAAGGATCATAATATAGGCATAATATTAATTTTTTTCTTAAATTAATGTTTGTAAGTGAGGACGTTATGATGACAGTCAACCTCTTAAATTACTCTAAACGATGTTTGCAGACGATACATGTATCGCACACATTGTCTACGTATGACACCATCACCGTTAAACAGTTTGGGCAAATAGACCTCCTCCTACCAGCCATCTAAAAATGAATTACAATACATACAAATACAATCAATCGATATGAACACGTTATAGTTGTATAATATTAATATATTTTATATTATATAATATATATTATATTATATAATAATATGTTATATTATTTTATTTTATTTTTTTTAGGTAATAGGTTTGATATGAATTTATTTTTAGTTAATAGTTATTACTTATTATTATAACTAGAAAATCTATAGTAAATATTTATACGTTTGATGGTTAAACTCTCGCCACCTACCAATGTGTCTGCATCTCTATATTTATATGTATGTATGTATGTATGTATGTATGTATGTATGTATGCATGTATGCATGTATGGATATATGTATATATATATATATATATATGGATATATGCATGTGTATATGTATGTATTTATATTGTATGTGTATATATATATATATATATGTGAAAAGTGTGGTCTGTGTCTGTGTAATTATCAAATAAATTATTACAATATTATTTACATTATCCCGAATCTTGAGCCTTCCTAAACTGTCACAGATATAATACAGGTATTGCAGCAATTAACGGGGACATTTTATCGTCAGATTAAGAATTTAAGATGAGCGTGTTTACGTCATCGCTCTGTATCATTTCACATTTTATTTCACAGTAATTTTCTCAAGTCGGTTATGACCGTCCAATCCCTCACACCGCGCACACTCAAACACTTTCAAATATAAAAAGAAGAGTGAAATACACAATTATTAGGTATATATCTAAATATGTATTATAATAATGTCGATGATAAAAATAGTGTAGAATTCGTTTTTAAATATAATACAAACCATTGAGCTATAAGCTCTAACCACACTCAGACAGCATTTTGTAATTATAATATTATTATAATAACATTATAATACTAATGTTATAATTACGAATAATATTTTTGAACAAAAAATTGCTGTATGGGCGCGAATTTCGTATTTTCTCTTAGGTAGGTAAAAATGTTACCAAATAATACTTGACGACACGATCGCCATCTGTGTAGTTTCCGCCGTCTCTGATACTGCGACTGTCGCAGCTACTGTTATTGACGCAGCTACGTCTACCATCGCAGCTACGGCTACCATCGCAGCTACGTCTACCATCGCAGCTACGTCTACCATCGCAGCTACGGCTACCGTCGCAGCTACGGCAACCGTCGCAGCTACTGCTACTGTCGGAGCTACTGCTACTGCCGGAGCTACTGTCTTTGGCTTGGTCTTTCCTATCGGCACAGCTACAGCTTCCATCGCTGCTACCGCTATCGTCACTGCTACTGTCTTTGGCTTGGCCTTCGTTATTGTCTTCGTCAGACTGTGTTTCCGAGATTGTCTAATATAATTTAAGTTTTAAATATTGAATTAGATAAGTGAATCAGAAGGAGCCTAGATCTACTGTACTATTGTAATCACTAGGGTTAGTTAGAAGCTTAGACTTCAAAACAAAAAAAAAATACCTTAGCAAATACTTTGTTCTGGTACCGGATAGGAAAATAAAGTTTTTTGACCGTACTGGATCCATCTACAAAATTATTAAGAACATGATATTATTAAATATTTATATCATATTAAAGAGAAACACAATGACGTATTATTATAATCAAAACCCCTCAAACGTTGTGTTATAGATTTTAGACAATTCGATATTTCGGTTGATTCTCTGTTGATTTTCTTTTGATTTTCAAACTTATTCAACGGGAATTATAAGAATTCCGACCATCGAGAATTCTGCATCATCGTAGTTTGAGTTGTGAAAATAAATGTATGCAATAAAAAGCGTGCATCCAAATTGAGTCTTAAATTTAAAACTGTTATAATAGTTGGCTCAGGAATTATTTTAGATATTACACTATAGTTTGGTCCATAATGTTTTTTGGTGAGTCCTGAGTACTACACTTTTCTAAAATTTTCCTTCTCATTTCAACAGACTTAGAACTGTCTATGACCAAAGGCATATGGTTAAATATGATTTTTATTGTTTATTTTTTATTTCGTTTCTTTGCCATTAAAAAAATAAATTATTAGAACTTCACAAGTTATGACATAATATAAATATAGATAAATTAATGTCAAGAAACAATATTGAAAATTTAAAAAATAAATAATAAATAAAAATACATAATATTATAACATTATAGCTTATAAATAAAAATAAAATATTGCTTAAAAGTTCACATTTGTATTAAATGTATATTTATATAATTTATTTTTGGTATTGGTAATATAGATAATATTTGTATTGCCTATATCATTTGTAAATAATAATTATATTTAAAACATTTTTATCCTCCATATCTTTGGTCTAAATAGTTTATAGACAGCCTTTAGCATGTTTAAATGGGAAGGGAAATGTTAGTATAGTGAAGTACTCACCAAAAAAAATTAGGATCCCAACTAGTTTAGTACCTAAAATATAGACCTATAATAATGTAGTGCCTGCGACTAGTTCCTAGTGGCCTAGTACTTCGGACCCAACTCGGACGCGCCGATGAAAACGTGTACCTGTAACAATAAGAACAAGAATGGAAAATTTTTTGGATGTGGTCGTCATCTGCTTGGTAAACACCGAGTACCTACACGACGTACAAAATCAACAATTTTATTATTTCGTCTTTATTTTTCTTCTTCTCAACCACCAAGCTGAGTAATACAACTATTATAAACATCATACTGTCTCACTCTATAAGCAGTGTCCACCGGTAGGTTTTTCTGTAAACAATTTCTAAGACATTATCATATTTTAACCGTTCTTTTTTTTCTTCATATTTTAGTTTCCCATTGTCGGTTCACTTTGCTGTGCCCTGGCGACTGGCATAATAGATCTAGCAATAGGAGTTCGTTAAGTACGGTAATCCGTGTGCGAGCACATTTACCACAAAACCACATATCTTATGCCCACATAATATTATATAATATTGCGTACAAACGGACGGAAAGCGAGCTCGCGTGAGTGTTATATCACATTATATTATGTATATATTGTACGTGTTTTGTTCCAAATCATATTATAGTCGAACTCGATTTACACAAAACAAGAACAACCGACGTAAAACAATATAATAATATGTATTCGAAACTCGGTTCTCTAGCGGTCCATATTATAATATTATACCTGTTATGCATTAAACAATATTGTTAAAAATCATACGGACTGCGAAATGTTGCAGAGGTTTTCAGCAAAATAACGCTGTTCTCAATGGAGTTTTTAGTACTATCTCCTCCGTAATATTATTATGTACAGCTATGGAATGAGTATAAATATCATGATAACGTTACCATGTTGTACAGTTTTATCTGAGCAATAGTGATAGATTTATTCGACAGTATTCATATACTACATTTATCATAAGACCCAACTATTTGTTAAATAAAATATTATATTACATTTTATATGTATATACATAATATATTAATTTCGCGGCACCGAGAAAGTGGTAAACCCCATTCCACTCAAAGGTTGAAAATCATTGATTTAGACTTTAAAATTTTGCTATCCTTATTTCGTAAGAAATATTCTTCTTTCCTTTGGGGTTTTAATAAAAAAAAAAATAATAATGTTATCTCTTGCACGTACTCTCATATATTATAGTAGTAGAATATCACATACGACCTTAAAGCGTGAATATAATAATATTATAACCAATATTCTTATTTTTGAAGCATTTTGAATTAAACTAAAATTAGTAGGTATATATTATAATATACAAATAATATCGTAATAAACGATGATAAAATAATAAAATATATATATATATATATATCGGCTCAAAAAAATTGTATTTTAATAAATCTGAATTTTCAAAATCATTTTACCAAAAATGTATTAATTATATCACACCGGTGGTGAATCTGACGGGTGGCTTAACATTATATAATACTATTAACGGATTAACGATGATTAACACAAACATGGTTTTGACTTTTGGTTACAAGTCTGGAATTGATTTTTATAATTTATTTAATAAATTCTATTAATATTTATTATTATTATTATCATTTCAACCAGCCAGCAAAGTAATACTCTTGAAAACTTCCACATTTCGTCTAAGTGCTACGTGATTATTACATTAAACATATTTAAATTTATTTTCAGACTATTAACTACGTCATATCTTCACAGCCACTGTAATTTAAAAATCATTTTTATTTAAATTTTTTTCGCGGTCCTAATTTAAGCTTTATATTTTATTTAATTTACAGGTTACACGATTTTCAACAGTATTATTATTGTTATTAAGCGTTTCGATGCGTTCGTTTTTTTTTTTTATTTTTAATAGTTTAATAACACGTCTGTGCTTACGGAGTATAATAGCAGTGAATATTAGCTGAAGTAATGGCTTATCCTTATGAAGGAGCAGCGTCAATTCGTCGAGGGCAATTTGCTGATTATATCGACATAATAAGTTAATGACTTCTTCGCGCGTACAGTATCTTCAGCGGTTAGTCTCTCTTTTTTTTTCCTTAATAAACCAACTCACGGCAAGTTTAAACTGGACCCGGAGATTCGATCTTTTAACACATTTTCTGTTCACAACCAATTATTTATCCGTATATTATATAGTCGAGTCAAAACACTGTGATCGACGAATCCGATTATAAGGAAATTGCGATATGGTTTGTATGTTCCATTACAATATTAAAATGTTTTCTACTTATATAACAACATAATCCGTTAAGTTTTAATCGCCGCTAATTTGCCAGCGGATTGGATAATATCTTGTAAGTAATATAAAAATATGTACCGGGTATACATTAAATGGATTATAAAAACGTTTGTAGACAATAAGTTAGTAAAACTTTTATTGTACGATTATAAAGTATTTTCGCAAAAGTTATATAGGCACTCGCGTGTGCATTTCCCTCGGAGTATATTACACGGCTGGCAAATAAACAACTACACCGATTCCTATAAAATACATTTATAAAGATATTATCGTAAAGTGTGAAATGTTTTTACATTAGTGCATTTCACATGACTATACAATGTAAGTGGATGTTTTTGAAAAAAAAAAAAAAATATTTTTATATTTGTAATAATATTATGTTGTAACGTTAGCTAGCAATAATATCAAGAATTACGTTATAATATTTTGTGTGTCTCATTATCTTAATTTATTTTAAATATAATTATTAGCCTTAAACGTTATCACTGTCAGTTCAAAAAATACACCATACCTTTCAGGTAATATTATTAAATTTTTTTTCCAAAGAAATACCCTTTTTATTGTTGCACTGTGTTATCATTAACGATAAAGAACATTAAAATAACATGTGCGTAGAGCGTACACGTATTATTTCCGCTTTTGATCGAAACTGTGTATTATATACGCATCGTTGAAACAACGGTTGGTACCTACTTCATTCTATAACTAAAACAAAAAATCTTATAATCATAAAATACGGTTTTAAATTAAAAAAAAAATAATATGTTTGGCTTTGGTGGTATTTTACATCATATATTTTAATATTATACTATATTTATTTGACTCATATTTTCAGAATACCTCCATATATATATGTTCTATGTATACTCGTTTCAAAGATTCTATTCGGAACCTATAATATTATTATGTTCATAAATTTATCGTTATAGAAAAAAATAGCATGATAATCAGATAATTCTAGAGTAGTGTGGTTTTGTTTGGAGATTTAGTGTTTTTCGTTGTTGTTCGACTTTCAAAGTGTACAATTATAAAACAATTTCCATAGTTTTAATCACATCGCATAGCAGTACTGGCAATAACAATTAAATCTATCGAATAAACGAGTAAATAATAATACCACGCCCGGAGGTGATTTGATAATATTCGTTCTGAGATATTATAAGTGTTATTATAATATATAAATATAATAAAAAAAAATCGAAGACGACGAGGAGGGCGTGGAGGTGTTATTTGAAAGTTATAATATTATTATTTACCATATTACCCCATACGAATATTATATACATATGTACCTATATTATATTATAATATACTGGCCCGAGTGTATGTCATTATTATTATTACTTTTTTTTTATTGCTCTCTACAACGTTTGACTTATTTTTCTTTTATATTCGTACCCACATTATATATTTACCTATACGTATATATATATATATATATATATTGGAGGCACACATATTATACACTCATAGATAATAAATATTTTCTTCGGCCATTATGCCGGGTTACCTCGGCTATAATTTCGTCGGTTTAGCGCGGTCGTGTGTGCACGTATGTGTGTGGGTGTGTTTTTAAAAATAAAAATA